GAACTCAGCGCTTGGGCCCTGTCCCTGAGTTTTTGTGCTTCTACCACTCGAGACACAGATCTACTTTCACCTTTTTTGGTAGTTAATTGGAGATAAGGGTCTCGTAGATTTTTCTGCCCAGGAAGGTTTCAAACCATGACCCTCAGCTTGAGTGGCTGGAATTACAGGCATGAGCTGCCAGTGCCTGTAAGGATCATTCAGTGTGGGGTTTAGAATAGAATACCTCTGGGCTCCCGTGTTGAACCCTTGCCCCAGATAGGGACAAGCAACTGCCAATGGCTTCCAGATGTCTGGTTCAGAAGGCCAAGGAGGCTGAGAGCCCTGGATATCAACGGGTGACTGGTCTCTCCCTTCCCTTCCCTCTCCAGCTCTGAACCAGGGTCGCTGTCCAAAGCTCACGCTGGAATAGCGCCTTAAATGTACACAACGTTCACTGTGTGAGATGCAAAGCGAAAGGAAAGGTCAGAAACCCCTGGTTATATGATTTTTTTTAAAAGACATCTATAAATAGCCGCATTTATTGAAGCTGCTTCCTTATCAGGAAGCATAGAGCTAGGAATTAACGTCTGGCTGCACCGGAAATTCTTTCAGACAGCAAACCCAAAAAGGAAATTTCCCTTCCCTAGCATCCTGGCGGCTCTGCTGTGGGTGTTTTTTTTTCCTTTTTTCTTTTCCAAGCGGTTGGCAGCCAACCAGGACCCTTGTGCTTCACGGGGAACAGAAAGTCTTTGGGCATCTGAAAGCAAAAGTGAAGGTGCCCAAAAGTTGAAGGGGGAACAAAATGGAAGAGGTAGTGGGCCTGCTACATCACCAGAGGTCACGATTGCAGTACCCGTGTGGGGACTGAGGATGACCTCTGAGAACCAACCACCTTCCCGCCTCAATTCTGATGTCCCTGTTGGTCACAGGCACCGGCCATCCAGGGACAGAGGATGACAACAGGTCTGAAGAGAGAGGGGAAGGCCAGCGGGCAAGGAGGCTCACAGACTGAGAACACCATGAAGAAAAATCCTCCAAGCCGGGCACCAGTGGCGCATGCCTGTTAATCCTGGCTACTTGGGAGGCTGAGATATGACGATTGAGGTTCAAAGCCAGCCTGGGCAGGAAAGTTTGTGAAACTCTTGTCTCCAATGAACCACCAAAAGGCTGGAAGTGGACCTGTGGCAAGGGGTAGACTGCTGGCAAAAAAAAAAAAAAAGCTCAGGGACAGCGCACAGACCCCGAGTTCAAGCCCCAGGATCAGCATATACATAGACACAGACAGATATACACACACGTTCACACCAAAAAAGAAAATACACATACAAACATAAGAAAAGAAAAAGAGGGCTGGGAAGGTGGCTCAGTGGTAGAATGCTTGCCTTGCATGCTTGAGGCCCTGGGTTTGATTCCTCAGCACCATATAAGCAAAAAAGAAAAAAGCCGGAAGTGGCGCTGTGGCTCAAGGGGAAGAGCGCTAGCCTTGAGCTGAGGGACAGCTCCCAGGCCCAGAGTTCAGGCCCATGACCGGACCCTCCCCACCACCACCAAAAAAAAAAAAAGAAAAGAAAAAGAAAGTTCCCTACGGAGGGCCAGAGGTAAGGGCAGGAGGCCGCCTCTGGACGGGGGGACCCTGGATGGAGGTTGTAAGGTAGAACTGAACTTGGACAAACCCTGGGCAACCATTAGAAAATGAAGCTTATTCCCTACATGACTGAGGAAAAACGATACCAATAGTATAGAGAACCTGGGGTCCTTTCTTTAGTGAAACAAACAAGGAGGGGTGTGCACGCTTCCCTGGCCTTTAAAACAGGGAGGCCAGCCCTGTGTTGGCTGCAGCGGGCCACTGTGGGCAACTGAGCACCGTTCCAGGGCCACCTCAGGAGCTCTGCCCCCAGGAACCCTTGTCAGTAGTGCTACTGGAAATCTGAGCCAGAGTGGGCAAACCATGGGGAGGATGGTCCTGGAGCACAGGTCTCTCTGGATCAAAATCCTTTCTGCTGCCATGCCCGCTGATCTCGATTGCTGGGGTCAGGAGGTCCCTCTGGGGACGGGCTGCCCTACCTGTGTACTTGGTTGAGCCCCTCTTTCCCCTACCATGGTCCTGTGGTCTTTATAACTGGGCTGCCAACAGAAACTAAACTCTAGCCTGAGTTTACCAGAAAGTAGAGGGCACCGCAGCTGGTGGGCAAGACTGAATGGATGGTTTATGGCAAGAGGCTCCCGTCTCCACCCTCTTCTGCAGAGGATGGCAGCCCAGGAGGGTCATGCCTATCAGGGCCCAAGGGACATCTGCACGGTCCTGCCTGTCCTAGATGACCATCTCCACAGTCCTGCCCCAGCTCACCACCTCCATGTCCTGTTCCAGTTCAACATCCAACACTGCCACCTTAACAGGTGGAGCAGAGCCTTGAGCTCCAAGCTTATGAGTCATGCATGAGAACACTCAGGGATGACCACTGACACGGAAATAAATCTGTAAGACCCTCCCCAAGCTGCATGCACCTGGTCATTTGTGCTCTAGTCACCCTGTCAACCAAATAGGAGCATCAACACACGCTTTAGGAGCTGTCACCTGACTAAATGAGATAATAGTAATACCTTCTGTTGCTTATAACAGCATAAAATATGAGTATCTATCTGCTTCTTCCTTTGCGAGTAAGTTGAATGTATATAAAACCGAGGCTCCACGTCCCTCTGTCTGTGAGGGTTCTATGTCTCTCTGTCTATGCAGGTTCTATATCCCTCTGTGCAGGCTCTGCGTCCCTCTGTCTGTGCAGGTTCTAATACAGCTCTGCATTGCTGTAGGACTGCCTGAAATTCCATCACTCTGCTGAGAATGCAGAACAGCAGAGTGGGTGAGCAGGGAGGTAATGTTTCCCAAGGAAGATGCTCAGCTGAATTATTAAGCACACACAAGCAGGAGGAATAATGCAAGGATTTCAAGAGATTTGAGAGGAAAGGTAGGAGGGCCTGGGGACCATTTTTGCTGTTCTGACTCTAGAAAAACAACAAGCGGTTATTATGGCTATTTATTAACCTGCAACGTTGTAAACTGTAACCCTATTAAATATGATGGATGAGCCCTAGGTTCCGCTTTTAAATGTCAGTTCATGGGGCTTTTAGAAGGCCAGAGAGACACTGTAAGACGCAAAGTCATAGGGAAAATGGCATAAAGTCAACCTATGATTAGCTGTGCTTAAATCAACAAAATGTGAGATGATAGAGCATTTAAGAAGAATTTAAAATAAGACATTCAATTATTTAAATTTCCACTGATACACCAGAAATGTATCTGTATAAGTTATTACTTGCTTGGCCTGGGCATCACCGTTTAAAGCATACTGTGATACAGGGCCCCTGTGACTGGAAGCCATGGCGCTAACGGACAGAATGCTACCACACGGCCCGGGGCAGAATGGGATGGCGCCACCTCACGACATACTCTTGGAACCCTTCTGTGTTTTCCCCACAAATCAAGGAAAGGTGGCCATCAGCAGACAAATTAAACTAGAAAGAAGGCCGTGATGAGAGTGGGGGAAGATCAGCCCTTTCTCTGCTGAGGGGCTCTTGGTCCTGTGGGGTTCGAAGCTGAGATGGAAGGCAAAGGCTCTCTTTGAAGAAAGCAACTATTTTCTCATGGTCTGATGCAACTGTACTTCAGCCTTTCTACCTTCAAGCCTGGAAATAACCCGTATCCCTTTATGGAAGAATGCCAGCCCTTTCTATCCTCTCAGCAAACATACTTGTGTCTGTTCCCAGGGCAAACAGGGTCTCCACAGCACACTCAAGGCACCGGCCCATACCAGAGTGGGCCAGGCCCTTCTGCCCACAGCTCTGTTCTTTCCAGGTGCAGACCAGAGGCCTGGATGGTACTGTCAGGTCTCCACAATTGTATTCTCTCTCTGAATGAGACTTGTAGCAATTACACTCCCTTTCACGGAATATGTCGATTTAAGAATGGGAGGACAAAGGGTTAAGAGAAGCTTTGTCTGGAAGTCAGTGAAAAGAAGCCCCTGGGAGCCACACCAGGCTGAGAGTATCTCTTTAAAACGAGCTGCTAAATATGCTTTCAAGCCCGCCATACCATAAATGTCCGTCCTGCCGTCCTTCCACAGATTCTTCCCCGTACTTTCCATCTGCATTCCACTGGGAATTGTCTGGAATCCCAGCTCAATTCCCCTGACAGAATATTTTCCTTTAGGTCTGAAAACTCATCTGGGATGCATCGAGTGTGTGGCCAGCCGCAGCCGTCAGGGGGCCCTGGGCTCCTCTAGGCATCGTGCGCGGCCACGAGTCTGGGAACTGGGTGGGAAGGAGGTAAGTGGGCCTCGTTTGGGAAGCCCTGGCCAGGCAGGCGGCAGGAGCCTGGGAACCTCCACTTCCACAGGATTCGTTCCAGATGTTGGAGCCAGAGGTATCCCAGCAGGGCTCATGCAGATTACCACAAAGTAGGCATTTGGGCCAAACCACTGCTCTGACCTGAATCCATAATCTTAACTACTGATTGTGTCTCACAGTTCACAGTAATGTGCTATAGCTCTGCATGGTATAATCATCAATGTGAGGATCTGTGCATCCACTCATCCACCCATCTAGCCACTATCCATCATCTATCCATTATCCAACCATCAGCCCTCCATCCATCCACCATCATCCATCCATCTACTCAGCATCTACTTATTACCCATCCACCCATCATCCATACATATCCATCCATCCATCCATCCATCCATCCATCCATCCATCCATCCATCCATCCATCCACTCATCATCTGTAAGCCTTTAAAAAATATGTCACTGTCAGAGATGAAATGAACGCAGAAAAATGAGACAAAGAATATCAAACTCTGCACAGCCATGTGGGATGAGGGAAAAGGTTCTGGAGCAGCCATGTAGTGTGTGTGACCATCTCTGTGCCCCTTGCCAACCTGGAGCCCTGGCCCAACTCCCCACCACTACCCCACAGCCTAGCTCTCCTTCCCTCCCAACCTGGCCCTCCCAGGTGGGCAGACACTCACGCAGGTGTGCGGGCAGGCGGATTGAGTCTTCTTCCATCCTGAGTGGCCGGGGCACTGGAACATGAAGTGGCGTTGAGGAAGCGTAGCTGGGTACCGGGCTCTCTGGAGGTGTGTATGAGATTCGTTCCTGCTGTTGTTAAAAATAAGAGGGGGGGAAAGTAATGAACATCTGGAATGGAGATGGCAGGTGTCACCAGGAAGATCATCCCACGAAGATGGCCCATGCACCTGTCAGATGCTGAGTATTTGGGACTTTTTATTTAAAAATACTGAAAAGGGTGAAGACGGGGCTTCTCCCCTGGACCGCAGAGTGCACTCGGACAAGGCCCAGGTGAGGGAAGACGAGAGAGAGGGTGAGAGATGAGTGCAAAAGCAGCTATCTCAGAAATGGTGTCTCCAAGCTGCAGTCAATGTCCCACTGCATTAAACCCATGTTGCTTCTTGTCTGGCACCAGCCTCGGCTTCTGATCAAAGCACGATTCTCTACTCAGATCCACCAAGAGTGAGCTGAGCAGGGAGGAGGGATGGCTGGAAACAGGATCCATCACCAAACTACCTAACCCCACAATACCCACACTGTTTAGTTTTCCCTTCCTAACGTGAAGGGGTTGGCCCCTGCTTGTCCCTCTACCTGGCATGTTAGGGTCAATGAACACTTAGGAGAACATTTAAGTGAAGTATTGCTTAACTGAGTTCCTGGTGAGCTTACAAGGAGGGGGCAGGGACCTCAGTAGATCCACCATTTTCAGTCAAACAAGTGATGCTGTGGTTCATGTGGTAGAACACCCAGGCCCTGAGTGCAACAGTGCTCAGACCCTGGGTTCAAACGTTAGGAAAAGCACAACAAGCATTTCTGGGTCCATTAAAACAAGTCAGATGGCAAGGGAAGAATGATTATTAGTCTTAATATATTCCCAATTATGGCAAGAAGCCATCTGTTATACTTGTGTTTGTTCCCCCTCCAGAGTGGGGGCAATTTACATCCTGGATCTACAAATCAACCAGTTTGACATCAACGTAACTTCAGTGAGTTTCTGTGGTTTAATGTGGGAGGAAAAAGACCAGTAAGATGCCTGTGAAAGGAGAAATCAGGAGTGAAAGAAACTCAAGATTAAAGCAAAGAAAATGCTTACACTTAAGAAAGATGGTTTTAATTTTTTTTTATCTCAAGTGTGCAGAGGAAAGAGAGGACCCCCCCTCCCCCGCCAGCCTACTCCCCAAATTACAGCTTCTCTTCCTCCTCAAGCCTGAAAAGCTTGGTGGTTGTGGTAGGAAGTCTTAAGTAAACGTGGACTCGCGATTACCATTTCTAGGCAACTTTCACCTTCCTCAGACACAGCCAGCAGCAATAGGGTGGGTGGGGCATTTCTGTTTGAATATCCATCTTAAAGTTTCCTGGTGAAGTTCTTAATTCACAGCAGATCCAGTTTGATTTTTTTTTTTTTCCTGTGTGCCAGTCCTGGGGCTTGAACTCAGGGCCTGGGTGCTGTCCCTGAGCTTCTTCTAGCGCCCTACCACTTGAGCCACAGCTTCATTTCCAGTTTTTTTTTTTTTTTTTTTGGTGATTAGAATGGAATCTCATGCATTCTTCTACCCCAGCTGGCTTCAAACTGTGATCCTCAGATCTCAGCCTTCTGAGGAGCTAGGATTATAGGTATGAGTCACTGGCACCCGGCTCAGATTTCATTTCTCACACCAAACACGTTTCCATTAAAGGTCTTCTGGAGGCAAAGCAAAATCTTCAACTTTACTTTTCTCCAGTTTTTTGAAGGGAAAGATGGGCAATCAGGGTATGAACTCAAGGCTGTGCACTTACTAGGTAGGCACCATACCACTTCAGCCATGCCCACAGCCTTTTGTGTTTTGGTTATTTTTCAGAGAGTGTCTAAGTTTATATCCAGGATGGCCTGGACCTAAATCCTTCTACCTATTTTTTTTTTTTTTGGGTTGGTCATGGGGCTTGAGCTCAGGGCCTGGGCACTCTCCCTACGCTCTTCAGCTCAAGGCGAGTGCTCTGCCACTTGAGCCACAGTGCCATTTCTGGTTTTCAAAGTCTCATGGATTTTTCTGCCCAGGCCGGCTTTGAACCTTGATCCTCAAATCTCAGCCTCCTGAGTAGCTAGGATTTCAGGCATGAGCCACCAGTGCCCAGCCTAATTTGTTTATTAAGTTCTTCTTAACTTTTTTTTGCTCCAGTTGGCCTCAAACAATGACTCTTTGCCTCCTGAGTGGCTGGAATTATAGGTATTTGCCACCACAACCAGCCCTCACTTTTCTGGAACTTCACCAAATGGGACACATATTTTGAGCAACCCTAAGTTAAGGATGAGTTATATTTTTTCATGTTTGTCCTGAGTTGTTTGGGGTAAATGAGTCAACAAGATATAATCATGTATATGGGAAATGTGTATTAACTCTGCTGAGGGTTTTTCCAGGTGAGATGGGCGTTTATGCACCACGCAGAATCTGTTTTTCTCCTTTCGTAAATTCCCCAGAGTCCTCAGCCCTCCGATCCCATCATGGGTATTTCTAGCCACCGTTAACTTTATTCCCAGAATCGCTTTCTGGTTTTGTTATATGGGTTTTGCAGAAGTGAAACTGTTGGTAAAGAAAACATTGTCAGAAAGTCTTCAAAGGCCACAGCACAAGGGGGGTGGGGGTGGGAGGAGAAAAAGAAGGGAGGGAAAGGGAGGAGGAGAGCGGGAGGGAGGAAGAGAGAGAATGAAGGTGTACTGTGTAATACAAGGCTGCTCCCTTAACACTAGGAGAAGGCCGGACACCCAGATGCAAGACCACATCCTCCCAGCCTCTGGGCTCCCTGGGAACAGCCCTGACCTGGAAAAGCCGCCTCCAGCCTCCGGACTGGAGCCTGGCTGAGCGTGGCAGTGTGAATCCCAGCTTCTCCATGGCTCTGTGCTGTACCTTCATGACACTCCAAAGGACTCAGTGAAGGTGCCAGGTAGTAACCGGAGAAAAGCAAAGAGCCAAGACCCAATCTGAAAAATAACCAAAGCAAAAGAGGGCTGGGGCGCAGCGCAGGTGCCAGAACCCAAGGCCCCGAGATCACACCCAGCACCCTCTGCTTCAGCTGCTCTGAAGGCTGAGATCTGAGGACTGCAATTCGAAGCCGGCTGGGGCAAACAAGTCGAAGAGACTCTTACCACCAATGAACCAGCAAAAAACCAGAAGTGAAGGTGTGGCTTGAGTGGTAGGACACCAGTGTTGAGTAAAAAAGCTTAAGCAAGAGTGTGAAATTCTTTCAAGCCTCAGAACTAACCCACCCCCCCAAAATAAAAGAAAGAAAGAAGAAAGAATAAAAGGTTCAGTGAAGGAGGAAGGCACCTGTCAATAACAAAACAAAGCTACGTTGGAATGGGGAACATCCAAGTCTGCTCTTAGGGGCTTGCAGAAGTTAGCAAAATCAAAGAGATGGAGCTGTGAGGATAGAGGAGCTTCAGGGACTAAGGTTCAGTGCTCCAAAGGGAGCCCTTCATCCTTACAACTGCACTTCTCCGCTCTTCTGACCCCACAAAGCACCAACCGACTGCGCATGCACCCAGGAGCAAACTGTCAGACTGATGGAAACCAGAGGTGCTTTATTTTAACGTGAAGAGGGGCAAGGAGCTCCCAAGAGGGCTGTAAGCAGCGCTCTAATTAAATTAAAATGCTCCAGTCAGAGGTATTAATGCTGGGGAGCGTTGTCGGGGATGCGCAGCCGGAGGAGGTCAGCAACGTGACCAAACGTGCCTGCAGACTGTTCAGATGGGGAGCAGATAAAACGCGTGGGGTGCTCGACTTTGCAGACACAGACCTTCAGAGACCCAGAGGCTGAAGGAAGAGAAATCTGTCACTGCCCAGGCCAGGAGGAAGACCCCTTGGGAGGGAGGACACGGACTTGAGCTCAAAGCTCTTAGCGAAAGTAGTTTCAGACAGGGGTTGATGTAAAAATTTTAGTAATCATTATAGTAACCGTTAGTAATGGTATTTTGGAGTGCATACAGAATGTTCCTATAAGAACTACGGAATCTTAGGTGATCTAAATTCCCCTCCCCCTTCACCCATTTAATTCCCACATTTTAATGGGATGCTTAGAAAGCTGTGAGCCGGAAACTTCCATGTAACACAGGCGTGCCCTTTCCATCCCTAATATACATCCCCAATACCAGATGTCGCCAAAGAATCTGCTTTTCAGAATTCTTCAATGTGGAGCTTCGGCAAATAAGCAAACTGCCAGAGCACGGGTGCAGTAGTACCTATCATAACTCTCTGGAAAGGCTAAGAGGTTAAGAAATTTTAGAACTTACAGTTAAATACTAACCTTCCTGGAGATTTAACATTCCAGGAATTGAGAAAACCAGAAAAGCAGGCAGACAACTTGCACAAAAGTGGTTTACAGGCCACCTCAAAGACTGAGCTGGGTGCTGACAGTTCACACCTGTCATCCCAGCTACTCAGGAGGCTGAGATCTGAGGATCGAGGTTCAAAGTCAGCCCATTCAGGAAAAAGTTCATGAGACTTATCTCCAATTAACCACCAAAATGCTAGAAGTGGAGTAGAACCCTGAATGAAAATGCTCAGAGACAGCACCCAGGCTGAGTTCAAGACTCAGGTCTGGCACATACAAAAAGACTCTGCTACTGCAGAGCCGAGATGCCTGGTTTTAGGAAAGTTTTTCTAAAAATCACTCCAATTCTGTTAACACATGCCAAGGACATCCCCCCCCCCCACATATACATATATACACATGTAACATGGCTTCTGAGGCCTTTGGTACAATCCTGGGGAGGGAGGGAGAGAGAGGACACAGGAACGAGATGATGGCCATCTCCTGCAGCCATGCTGTAGTGCCACTGGCACCTGGCCCTGGTGTTGGTGTCTCACCAACAGTCCCAGGGGAAAGGGCGGGAAACAGCAAGAGCCAGAGAAACAGTGCTCACGCTGGCCACACTCCATACCCAAGGAAAACTCTCATTTCCAACCTGCAGGGCTTGGGGATGTGGCCCTGGGCTGGATGGGACCCCACGAATGGAATGGAAGCTGTAGGACTTAGGGATGAGGCACCGGAGTGGACCCCGCAGACAGAACGGAAGCTGCAGGACTTGGGGACACGGCCCTGGGCTGCACCCTGCAGATGGACCGGAAACTGCAGGACTTGGGGACACGGCCCTGGGCTGCACCCTGCAGATGGAATAGAAGCTGCAGGACTTGGGGACACGGCCCTGGGCTGGACTTCGTGGACGGAACGGAAGCTGCAGGAATTAGGAGATGCGGCCCTCAGCTGGACCCCATGGACAGAACAGAAGTTATTTCTCCTGAACACGCGGTCACTCAAAGACAGTCCTCTGGCTGCAAAGCAATCATCAAGGTGCTAGGTTGGCTTCCATCCAATGCACTTTCACCAAATAAGCTTTTATGAATAAGCTCTAGCTACCTGTCACCCCAAAACCCTGCATGACTTACGAGGTTTTTGGCCTCATGGATACAAGAAACTAGCATTGTCTTGAAACTTAATTTCTAGCACTTGAAAAAAGAACACTGCATATCCTGTCCGTCCCCGGGTTCCGTAAGCTGCGGGAAAGAGCTTGAGAGAAGATGCAAACGCTGCTGCTGAGAACACATGGACTCTCCCCAGGAAGAGCCCAGCGCAGCCTCCAGTCAGAGGTGAGGCGGGATAGCACAAGTGTCCAAGCATGGATCGTGAAGTAAAAAGCAGAAGGACGTGGAGATGACTTCTTCTCGTGTAGGAAGGACACGGAGATGACCTGTTCTCAGGCGGGAAGGATGTGAAGATGACCTCATACAGGAAGCACATGGAGATGACCTCTTCTTACCCAGGAAGCACAAAGAGATGTCCTCTCTTCATCCAGGAAGGTTCTGGATGTCCACACTATGGAGCCTACTGCCCTCCCAGACCAGCGGCCCTCTGTGGCTGCCGGATTCACATCCTGGTATGATGTGAAGGACTCCTGTGGAGGTGAGGAGGGAGCTGGTGCCTGGTGCTGGAATTACCTCCCTACGTCACCATATGGCCAGGTGGCTCTGGGGGAGACTGTGCACACCAACAACCATGGTCAGTGCTGCCCAGGGGCTCCTCCCGTCGCTGGCCTCACCACCCAAAACAGCGCCACACTTTTTGTGGACATTTATGCAGATGGCCCAGGACCAGCAATGAGTGGATTCTTGTTGAGAAGTGAAAACAGTCCCTTGCCTCCCTTCCTGACCAGGCCCACCCTACATCCAGAGGACAGCGCACTCTCCTGTCAAATCAAGCCATCTTAAGTCTGCTCTTACCAGACCTATTACCTGCACGGTGATGTTTTCAGAAAAAAAGACCAAAAATGAACACAACAACAGGTCCCGGATCAAGCCTGGCTCTGAAAGGGAGGTGAGACTGAGAATTTTTCCCTCGCTGTGATCAAGAACTATTCCAGCACTCATCTTGTGTTTACTGGGAATTAGGCAAAATGAATTATATAAGTGGAATCCTGGAATTTCCGCTGTGACCCCAATATCTAAAATTCTGTGTAGGGCTGGGTGTGGTTTGGTGGTGGAGGGTTTGGCCAGGCATGCACAAGGCCCTCGGCTCCATCCTCAGCATCACAAACAAAAATAATTGTGTCTCTGTACCCATCAGTACCTGTGCACACTCACACAGCTTAGAACCCAGGCCCCAGTTCTGGTAGAAGCTGCAGGAAGGAAGAGGAACGTGCGCACAAGCTTCCCTGAGCTACGCCTGCAAGGAGGACACGAGTATCTCCAGCCTCAGGGAGAGAAACTGAGCATCTGAGCTGGTGCAGCGTTGAAGATGGCGGCAGTGGTGATGGCAGACTGGTGTCTGGATGGAGCCAATCTAACTCCACCCAGAACTGCTCCTGACAAAACGCAATAAAAAAATTTAAAAAAAAAAAAAAAACCACACAGGGAATGCTGGCCGGTCCACATGGCTTTGCTACATATGGGGAATTCCGAGTGATGAGTCCATGCTTGTAAGAACTGCAGCACAGCCCGGGATGTTCCATGCTCTGCATCCAACACTGTCTGCAGAACACAGCCCCTGGATGAGGGACAAAAGCGCTCAGCAGTGGCCATTAGAATGCACGCAGGGACACATGGTGACCAGAGACACGAGGCGGCATGCTGACCCCTCACCTGCATCCTGCCTTCGCTGTGTAGGGAAGCTCCATCTTGAGTGTTCTTGGATTAAGTATCCAGTTTCAACCCTTGTGTTTTCTTCAACCAGAAAACATTTCCTCAATGTAACTGTTCCATCTACCCAAAAGCAGCACTCCTCAATGCACAGGTGTGGGCAGCAAGGAGCCACCGATACCACATGGTAGCACGGTGTGTGGGGACTGCCGCTGTGTGGTGCTGTGGCCGGTGGATCCCTTGCCACAGAGTTGGGGGGGGTTACTGTAGTGGGGGAGGGGAGGGGGCTCTAGACAGGGCTTCCACAGGAGAGGGGCGCATGGGCCAGCCTGACGCCAGGACCAGGCCCCACCCCCTGCTAAGTCAAAGAGCTGCTCGGCTCCTTTAGTCCCCCAGGGTCCCTGGAGACCCCAGGGTCTCATCAAATATAATCAAGTTTCTCAAACTAGGGGCACCACAACCTAATCCTGAAATGGATTTCATTCCTGTTCCCACTTCTTTAGACATTCTCTACTCCTAAGACGCCATGAAATCCTTTTCCTTTTTCACCTCCAGTTTCTTAGCTATTTCTAAGAGGTAAGCGGAATGTGCTGGTGCGACTCATCCTCGTGCTGGGCGGTTGAGGGAAGGCTACAGGCTTCCACTCAAAGCAGACCGCAGATGATCCGCGCGCCCTGGGGGCCGTGGAAGTGCACTCAGCAGCCTGGCCTACCGGCGGGACAGACAAACATCATATCCACACAGGATCAAAAGAGGCGTGC